TGAGAAGTGATTAGAATACCGAACAAGAAGATCCAATCATTCAATTAAGCGATTGGAACATCAAATTGAGAAATTAGGGGATTTATACATACAAGAAAAATTAGGATGACTGGCTGAGATTATAATACCTGAATCTATCCAAACACTGATGCATTCCCAGGATGATGACGAACAACTCTCACAAAAATTGTAGGTAAAAAGTAGGAGGATGATAAATGACAAGAAGCACATCTAAAGAGACCAAAGGGAAAATCGAATCCACTTAGGGGAAGAAGATAAAAAAACGCAGAGGGGAGAGAGAGATCCGATCGGAACCATATGGGGGAGAGAGAATTGAAGGCTCAACCTGCGCGGCTAATCTTCCGGAAGAGAGTGATTAGACTCTGGGCAAAAAGACAACGGTGCCCATACATAAAATAGGCGAAGGAATGATTCGGGATCAAGATCAAACGGCCACAATTTGTTCTTATTTCTTTCGTTAGATTTCATTCTTATTTGAACCAAACTATATATATATATATATATATATATATATATATATTTATATATATATATATATATATATATATATATATATATATATATATACCTCATATGTTACGGTGGATCCAGAACTTGCTGGCGGGGGACGAAATGTAACAGCAGCAAGAGTGCCATTAGCGGACAATACACATAAGGCTCTTTGTCTCTGCTGTGCAAATGCCAGTATTTTCGCTGCTATATCCTGAACACATCCAATATGTGCAATTTTTTTTATTTTTTTTGTCACAAAAATGAAAGAACTCTAAATATCTAGATATTGTACTCCATAGTATATAAAAAAAAGTGGGAAGGTTTGGGAGAAAACTTGGGGAAAAAATGTTAAACTATATGTAAATTTTGGAAAGTTTTAAAAAAGGGCACTTGATTTTTGTGTTGATTGGATTTAACACACAAATAAAGGAATAAATTGAATGTGAGGCATACCTCTCCTGCCCCGATTTGTATGATATATGGTGTGAATGCAAGCCTAGCTGAACTGTTCATCCATTCACCTGCAGCAAGTAAACAACACCCACCATTTCAAAAATGCTCTTAACAGTAAGTCCATGTTTGTTTGTTTTCGAAATGCCATTCTAATCCTTTTCTTTTTGGTGTGTTTTTTAGTTGAAAAAGGTTTGGCATTTTCGTTAAAATCTTAGCAGCCAAACGAAGCTTGAATAGATCATTCCCATTGAACAAGCAATTACTCTAACCCAATGATAATTTCTCATTTTCCTAGTCACTGTAAGGAGTATTGTTTTTACTTGCCTTATTTCAGACTACTACTAACTTTTCTACTTATCGCAACGAAAATGTATACTCGTTACGAACCATCACTAACTTCCATCTGCTCATTTTATCAATTTCCTCATTAAAAATTTCATTTTCTGAGTAGGGGTAAGGTACGTCTATTAAAATCTCATTTCCCAGCTTATCCTTCAAAACACTCTCGAATTTAAGCGCATTATTTTGAATCATTTCTTATTCTCCTCACTTTGTTGCTTGTTTCTTTCTCACTTTCCTTGAAACTAATCACCTAATATCAAGTTTCTTTCTTCTCTAACACACTTCAATGTAAAAAGGATAGTCTTGAACAAAGAACAAGACAACAAGTAATCCATAGGCATGTTAGATTGTGGAAGTGAAGAAGAAAACATACCAAGAGGGGCTAATTGTTGTTTCCACCCACTTCCCGGGGGCCTTCCCTTGGCCCATTTAGGCTCAATGGACGACGAAGAAGCCATGGCAGACAATGCTAAAGACATGTTGGTAGCCCCATCAGGCCCATATTTCCTAGGCCTGCCTTTCTTCTTATTCACCGGATCACCACCATGAACAGTCTTGCCAGATTGGTTCTCAGAATAAAATGCCCCATCCCCAACATTGGATTGGACTGCCATGTCAGGGTTTGTTTGGGGTTTGAATTCAGACCCATAAGGCGGCGGCATTCTCCCACCACCACCACCGCCGCCTCTACTAAGATAGTATGAAGATGAGCCAGGGATATAAGGGAGTCCTGTCCCCTCCCTTATATCCATACATCTACACACCTAAACTAAAAGAAAAAAAAACTAATCTTTGGAACCAAACTAAAAGAAAGAATCAAAGTTCAAGAACAAGAAATAATCCTAGACATGGGTTTTAGATGGGTTTTTCATCATCATTAAAAAATGCTATGAACTTGAAACTTGAAGCCACCTCCAGATCGAGAGGGGAAGAGTAAAGGTGGAATCTTGGAAAACTAAAAGTCCATAGAGTAGGCATTAGGTGATCATGAAGAAAAATGCCTAGATTCTGCTGCCATGTAAAGTCACCAAAAAGACTTTGAGTAAATAGAAGTCTAGCAAGGAAGAAGCCACATTTACCATGGGAATGGGAGAAAAAGGAAAAGGAAAAGAAACCCTAGATTGAAAATTTGCAGAGTTTGAGAGAGAGAGAGAGAGAGCAATGGGAAAGAGGGGGGGCTAATGACAAAAGTGAGATGATGAAATACGGAGTAGAAAACTTTTGGAACAATGAAATAGAAAATTTTGAGCTTTTGAATTAAAGCGGAAGACAGCTTTTTCCTTTTATTACTACAAACTTTCAAATCTCAATTTATTAGGGAGAAAAACCAAAGTAGAACTAAAACATTGAAAATATACCAAAATAGGACTTCCGTGTTTTTATTCTCGAAATAGGACTTACATTACCAAACATGGTCATATACATTACCAAAAACGTACAGTAATGTGTACATGTACACTGTCACATTACCATAGTGCAAAGTCACATTACCACAGTGCAAAGTCCTATTTTGGGAAAAAAACATTAAAGTCCTATTTTAGTACTTTTCTTTATGTTTTAGTCCTATTTAGGGTACGGTGGTTTCTAAATTTAATTATTATGTTCATTGATTGTAGTTCTTCCTTCACGAAAGCTATGTATGGTGTTACTTCTAAAATTATTTTGGGAAATTTAATTAAAGAGTACTAAAATATAATGATTTTCTCTTAATAATATTATATGTGTTTTTTTCTCAATGTACATTAGTCATTATTCAAGTAAATGTTCGCCATCACTAGACATTATTTCTTCCTCTAAACATTATTAAGTGTTATTTTGAGAATAAAACAGTTTAAGTGCTATTTAGAAAATTGACTTAAGTTTTAGTGTTATTTAGTACGGAGTACAAATATTTCAATTATTTTTGTCACTCTATTTCTGAGTTCTTTTTTAAAGGGAAAATAAGAAAAATAATTTATGTAAATTGACTTTTAGAAAATGAATAGGAAAATGAATTTTATTTTTTTAAGTCATTTTCTTTTTCTCCTGGTGCTTGGTTACAATGAACGGTAAAATGAAAAATTACAAATTAGAGTTTGAGATCTTGAAATTGAGAGAGAAAATTATGGTGAGAGATCCGGTCATCTTCTTCGTGGAGAACGATAATTTGAGTTGGAAAAAGCAGCGACTGAGATTTGGGATTGTATGGGAACACAAAAGAAAAAAACAGGGGACTACCATAGATAGGTGTGAGGCCACAGGAAAAAATATGAATATTGAAGCTGCAATAGAGAATGTGGGCGTTGCGCAGGTGGCAAAGATAGAGAGTACCAATGAGATGGACCCGAGTTCGATTCGGCCTCTACAAGTATGAGATACAAGAATCACTCTTTACCATCAATCTGCAATCAAAGTCTAATTTACTTTCTTTCATTCATCGATTAGCCGAGTTTGAGAGGTCCCTCACAATAGGGCTCGTCTCATTTTTTCCAGAGAATGTAATGTAACGTCGTTATACCAATGTTTATTTGATTTTGTACATCTACTAGCAATGTCTATTAAAAAGCTTGTCCATTCTAAGTAAATTTATTTATATAACATAGTCAATGACATTAAAATCATCAAAAACAAGTTGGTAATTGATCTTGTTGTATATACTCCTAAACATGAAGCTTGTCTTAATATTGGTATATAGAGTATACGTATATTAAAAATTATGATTCTTATTAGGTCTTAATATTCATAAAAGCTTATTTTAGGTTAACTATGTCTCTCTAAAAATGGATATGAAGGCATAATTTCAAATCCATGAATGAGTATTAAAAATTCTGAAGTGTTATGGATGATCGTAATCCGATATGTTATAGTATTTAATATGTACCGATCTCGATCTCGAAGTATCAGTTTTGGATGGTACAAAATCTAGTTTAACTTTTAAGCGTAACAAAATTTTTCATTATTAAAAAATTGAAAGTACAATTAACTAAAGAAAGATAAAAAGTTTTAAAAGTGAATAATTAAACACAACAAATGATTACGAAACTTAGTTTATTTTATTCAATTTTAGATTCCCCTTAAAAACATTTAGCATTTGTTGTAAATTATAACTTATCTGGTTCTTTTTAATCTTTGAAAAGTAAACTTAGATTAGTTCAATGAAGAAATTTAAAAAGATTATTTTTATAATATATTAGTATATGTATTGGTCGAAATTCTCAATATAAAGAGTTATCTCGTACAGGTTTTAAATATCTGACCGATTGTAAAACTTGATTCTTTTAGGGAGAAAGACCAAAATAGGACTAAAACATTGAAAATATACCAAAATAGGACTTTTATGTTTTTATTCTCGAAATAGGACTTACATTACCATACATGGTCATATACATTACCAAAAAAGTATAATAATTTGCACATGTACACTGCCACATTACAACAGAGCAAAATCACATTACCACAGTGCAAAGTCCTACTTCAGAAAAAAAAAACATGAAAATCCTATTTCGGTATGTTTCTCTATGTTTTAGTCCTATTTAGAGTGATTTCTAATTCTTTTACTACTTTATCTATTTGCATTTTCTTTTTTAGGAAACTTTCTTTTCTCTGTTCTTTGTACGGAGTATTTGATACTTTTTGGTATTTTGACTATTTGCTGTCTTTGGTTTAGCTGCAAACTTAAAACAAAGAACAAAACTAGACAGTGACCTGCGAATCTGCGATCATAGGAACAAAAGTCACCAAAGCTGCCGCGATGGTGAAGAACAAGACAGATTACGAGGAAGATGGTGAGATCAATGGGGTCAAAACGAAGGCAAAGAAGAGGAAAGCGGTGAGAGATGTCGAGGAGGCGGAGGATGGCCGCGGCGAAGATGACAACAGCAGGAAGACTGGGAAGAAGGATGCGGCGGAACCGGAAACGGAACCCTGGGCCGGAGAGGAGGAGACTCCGGCGGATCCGCCGGCGGAGGAGGACGCTAAGCCTATAGGCCGTGTGGTTAGGGTTAGGGGAAAAGGCCGAAGCCGGAGGAATCACTACGCTGCCTTCAAGTATAATGGATTCCAATTTGACCTAGTGAGTGTTGTAAATCTAAAATTGCTCCCTACTTCCATCAAAACCAAACAAAGTTGCACAAAAAAAAAAACTTACTTTTAATTTACCCTTTGAACGAAACAAGCCGGTGATCAGAAACTCTTTACACAAAACATTTCCTTTCTAGTTAGACGTGTAGAGTGCTTACTATGTGTTATTACTGTCTAGGATGATCCAGTGCTGATAGTTCCTAAGGAGACAAAACAAAAACCTAGAGTTGCTATTATTAAGGTATTACTCCGTATTATGTTTTGTTTGTGTTTCTTACTTTTTCCTTTTACTTGTGCTTAATGCTCATTCAAGATTGGAGTTTCTTACTTCTTTTTCTTATGGTTTCTTGGATTCTTGATCCCACAAGTTGTTGGATATTAAACGTGCCTTTTTTTTTTTCTAAAATTAATGGAGATTGATCATATTTAAGACTTCAAGTATTGAGTGCTCTAATTCCCTAATCTTGTACTCCGTTGTAGCTTATATTAGTTTCCGTTATTTGTGATAGAGTAGAATAATGCAATTTCATACTCCCACCATCCCAAAATGTTCTTCCCAATCCGACTTAGCACGGTTATCAAGAAAATAGACTTGTGTGATTGTTATTTATTTCGAAAGAAGAAAAACAACATCAACTGCATAAGCATTGCCCTAAAAGAAATAATAAGCAAATTTTGGGACCCCCCACAAAGACAATGAGAAGAACATTTTGGAATGGAGAAGCTAATAACCTAATCTTTAAGGGTACAAGTAACAAGTTTTTGTTTTGCTTTGTGTGTGTGTGTGTGATTTATGTTTTTGCCTTTTCGATCTGTTTTTATTTTATAGGGGTCTGTTGCAGGATATTTATAAGTCCCACAAAGGGAGCATGATGGTAGCTGGGCAGTGGTTTTATCGACCTGAAGAGACAGAAATTAGAACAGGTGCGAACTGGCCCTCACATGATTCAAGGGAACTGTTTTACAGCTTTTGCATCAATAAGATTCCTGCAGAGTCCGTCATGCACAGGTGTACGGTGCATTTTATCCCCTTAAATAAACAGATTCCAATGCGCAGTCAACATCCCGGTTTTTTTGTCCAAAGAATTTATGATAAGGAGAAGATGAATCTTTTTAAGTTGTCTGAGAATGACTATGAAGAGAGCAGGCAGCATGAGATTGATCTCCTTGTTCAGAAAACATTTTCACGACTTGGAGATCTTCCTGACATTGAGTCCAAGGATGCTGCTCTTGGGAAGGAAGACCATTTGGCCGTGTCGACGAAAGAGTTAAAAGTATGGGGTCCTCTTTATATTTGCTGTCATTTAGTTCATTGTCATCCTTTTCCTTGAAGATTGTTGGGAGCATATAGCTAGCCAGAACCTTTAACCAACGGTTATCATGAAGATTTATGCCATATTAGATGTTTAACCACATCTAACTAAACCTGAAAGCCCTACACACAATGGTAACCCCCTTTCTAGGCCCTACCCTACAAGGCTACAACTGTAATCCTCGATCACCAAAACTCTTATCTAAGATCATATCCTCAATGGATCTGGATTTTAGACCGTCAACTAACATAATTTTTGGGTTTTAACTAATTTAGTACTCTGACGGTTTGACCTTCAATTGAATCTTAGGAGGGTATGACAACAGAAGAAATAAAGTCGGCAGCAGCCTGATGAGGAAGAGCTCAAACAGGTTCTTATTTTACGGGCTATTTATTAATCACGTATTCTTTTTTACTTGACCACTCATTTAAGTTATTCACCCACTTATTCTTTCATTAAGTGCTTAGCTATGTGGAGAATAACTTTTCATTTTGTTTTTAATGAGACATAGCAACAACAACAAACCTATCTGGGCAATGTGGGTGTACATAGACCTTGCCCTACATTTCCCCCCCTTTCTTTTTGGGTTCTGTTGTGTGTTTTTTCAACTATCAGACAAGCAATGTCGACTGTCGTCTCCGTCACATAGATAGTTTTGAGAAACATTTGAATCTAAAAGAAATGGATATAGGGAACTATACCCTATGCAACTATTAGCATTTCACTGCTCTCTCTGTCCCAAAAAAATAAAAGGTGGGTACTCTGTATTATTTTTGTCCCCAAAAAAGAGCCCTATTTGCTCCTTCCGGCTTTCACAGCGTCAAAGTTCTACGTTTCTTTAACCGGGCAAAAGTGTTTATATATGCTCTCTTAGTAGTTAAACATGTGAAGCGTAGGGCACCTCGCCTGGTTAGAGGCAATGTTAGGCAAAAAAGTTTCCATCTTTAGATTTCATGTTGTGAATGGTTGCTTGATTTGTGTGCCAGCCTCAGTTTGGATCCTGTGGGAGTACTTGGGACGCATCAAGACATGAAGTTTCCTCACACGGCAAGAAATGCTATACACTCCCGTTCCAAAATGGATACCATTGTTATTTAAGGTCTTTTTGTAATTTTTGTTTGTTTGTTGGTATGTTTTCATTGATAATTGATAATTTGATAAAATAAAATATTTGTGTCACCTCTACTTCTATAGAGTTTTTTATGTACTTTAGAACGGTGTAATTTATACATTTTATTTCTATATCAATTTGTAATTAAAATGATTTTAAAAACGATGAATTTTTGCACATTGTTCGGAGTGTGACATCCATTATGAGTATACTATTATGATGGTGTCATGGTGGATAATGTTGAAGATGATGGTGGTGGTGATGCCTGGTATTAAATATAGTGTAATGATTAAGTATAATTAGGCTAGAGATATTGTTTTACTCCCTCTGTTTCTATTTAAAATTCTCGGTTGGATTTTGACGTAGATTCAGAAAAGGTAAAATGTTCACCCAATTCATTTCATAAATGAATGAGAAATTAAAATTGAGACAATCAAAAAAGGTAAGTGAACTTTATTTTGAGACAAACAAAGTACAATTTTGGGCAAAAAGATACAACAATTAATAGTTTATTTTCTAGTTTCCCTGTTTGTTATGTGCATTGTGCATATTGTACAATATTATTCATACTATACAAATTAATTAACCAACTATAATCAATTAATCATAATGAATATGGGTGGACACCATTCTAGTTATGAATCGGTATTTTTGAATCATATCAGAAAAGATATGTAGAGATTTTGGAATCATAATTAATGAAATATGTACGGAAAAGATATATAATTTGAGTTTGAGAATATAATTCGAAAAGACAACTTCGAGACCGAGGAGTATTTTGAACAAGTATGTGATAGAAGATCATAGATCTTTTAAAACATATTTGGATAACATATGTGTAATTAAAAATTCGATGTAATTACATGTGATTATACTCTTTGCTTTATTTTTCCTTCAAAAAAAAAAATCTTTGCTTTATTTGGTTTGCTGCGACATTAAAGAAAATCAATGTGTTATTGGAGCATTGCTATTGCATTTCCATTCTTAAGGGAGGGGATTGGAATTGGCAAAAGGAATAAATACATAATTAGATTTAAAACATATTACATATACCAAAAGAAGATCTTTTATTATTTTTATACCAAAGGCTCTAAGTAATGCCTAAATGGGAATCGTAGTCTACCTCGATGAATTACCCTAAATCCTGACTTTTTGGAGTTAAAATTGACAAGGTTAAAATCTTCGTAAGTTTAAGGGATAGTATTAAATAGTGGTACATACCTCTAAATTTTTTGCAAATTAATACGGGTACTTCTTCAGTAGATCGGGGTAGGGATAATATTATTTACATAATTAACCTAGGTTGTTATTTTTAGTTTTTACAAAGTCTTTCAATGAGAGGGTATAATAGAAATTAAGTATTTAGACTTGTTATGTGCAGTTGAGTTGTTACGTATGTATTTCATTCCTATTATTTGTTAGAAAAAGTGACCAACGCTAGAGGGGAGGGGGTGAATAGCGTTTGATCGTAGAAATCGCAGGAATAAAAAATTAAGAACGTGAAACGTAAAGAGCGTAGAACGCGTAAAGGGAGCACACCAAGATTTATACTGGTTCACCACAACGTGTGGCTAATCCAGTCTCCCGAGAGACTCTCTCGAGCTACACTACTTCCGTTAAGCTTACGAGTGCTTAACAAACCATTACAACCTGAGAACTCGAGTCCCACGAGCCTCAACAACACTTGCTCGGAGATACCGCACTCCAAGACTTCAACCCGAAGGAAAATACCTTTCCTTCGTACAACCAAGGGAAACAAGCTTCCCTTAACGTGTATACAACACTAAAACACTCAAGAACAAAACTCTCCTTAAGAGTGGATATGAGTAAACTAAGAACGCTCAAGAACACAACACAAGCTTCACAAAAATGGCTCTCAAAAGCTATGAATAATTAAAGAATGATTTGCAATGAAAGAGTAGGAGTTGTGAAGTAATGTTACATGTAAAACAGACCCAAACACCTCATTTTATAGTAGAAAAATAGGCTCCAACGGACCAAAGTATTTAAGGGGTGATTGGCATAATTTGTGGGATTTGATGAAATTTGGATCTGTTGAAAATCACCTAGACAGCGCTGTCCTAGGCCTGGACATCGCTGTTCTAGGCTTGCGGTTTGAAAAATGGGAAGCAACGGTCATGCCAACAGCGATGTCTAAAATCCCTACATCGCTGTTTTGGCTGTTGACTTCCAAACAAGGAAAGTTTTAGCCTTAAATTCCTTCCAACGGTCAGGTCTCTACATCGATGTTCTATACTAGAACATCGCTGTTTAGGTCTGCCTTTGGAGATGGAAGTTTGGCCTGACAGCGCTGTT